ACAAAGAAGGTAAGTATGACATGAGCCTTTAATATCATTTTACGTTGTCCTCTAGGCAGGCAGCTTGCAAATCCACCATGAATCTCTGCATGTTGTTACAAAACAGATCCAATTACACGAATAATGATCATCAAAATGTGTATCTGTTGCCAAACAAAAAACATTGGAATTTAAAGAGACACTGTTCCTCTCTGGCAAAATGGAAAATAATCATAATAAAATATTATAAAGGAGACTGTACAGATACCACGTATGACTGCAATTAATGACGCAGCGATGTCAGAAAAAATAAATCTTGTAATGTTGCCAACTTTTCCTGAAGTAATTATAAGCTAGTACGTACAAAGAAGAAGATACTAACTCGGAATTATTATATGGTTAATTAGTCAGAGAAAAACATTTGACCATGACTGCATAAAATGAGAGACTGTCATTCAGTGGAGAATGAACACAGCCAGCTAAATACACTGCTCAAAAAAATTAAAGGAACACTTTGAAAACACATCAGATCTCAATGGGGAAAAATATCATGCTGAATATCTATACTTTAATGGACTGGGTAATGTGTTAGGAACGTAAGGATGCCCCATCGTTTAGTGGAAATGAAAATATCAACCTACAGAGGACTGAATTCAGACACCCCGAAAATCAAAGTGAAAAAAGTATGCAGTAGGCTGCTCCATTTTGCTGAAATTTCATTGCAGCAACTCAGAATGGTACTCAGTAGTTTGTATGGTCCCTACATGCTTGTATGCATGCCTGACAATGTCAGGGCATGCTCCTAATGAGATGACAGATGGTGTCCTGGGGTGTTTCCTCCCAGATCTGGACCAGGGCATCACTGAGCCCCCACACAGTCTTAGGTACAACCTGGCGGCATTGGATGGCCCGAAACATGATATTCTAGAGGTGTTCTATTGGATTTAGGTCAGGAGAGCGGGGGGGACATTAATGGTATCAATTACTTTATCTTTCAGGAACAGCCTGCATACTTTTGCCACATGAGGCCAGGTATTGTCCTGCACCAGGAGGAACCCATGACCCACTGCACCAGCATAGGGTCTGACAATGGGTCCAAAGATTTCATCCTGATACCTAATGGCAGTCAGGGTACCATTGTCTAGCCTGTAGAGGTCTGTGTGTCCCTCCATGGATATGCCTCCCCAGATCATTACTGGCCCACCACCACAACGGTCATGCTGAATGATGTTATAGGCAGCATAATGTTCTCCGCGGCTTCTCCAGACCCTTTCACATCTGTCACATGTGCTCAGGGTGAACCTGCTCTCATCTGTGAAAAGCACAGGGTGTCAGTGGCAGACCTGCCAATTCTGGTGTCCAATAGCAAATGCCAATCGAGCTCTATGGTGCTGGGCAGTGAGCACAGGGCCCACTAGAGGACATCGGACCCTCAGACCACCCTCATGAAGTCTGTTTTTGATTGTTTGATCAGAGACATTCACACCAGTGGCCTGCTTAAGGTCATTTTGTAGTGCTCTGGCAGTGCTCATCCTGTTCCTTCTTGGACAAAGGAGCAGATACCTGTCCTGCTGATGGATTAAGGACATTCTACGGCTCTGTCCATCTTTCCTAGAGTAACTGCCTGTCTCCTGGAATCTTCTCTGTGCTCTTGAGACTGTGCTGGGAGACACAGCAAACCTTTTGGCAATGGCACGTATTGATGTGCCATCCTGGAGAAGTTGGACTACCTGTGCAACCTCTGTAGGGTCCAGGTATTGCCTCATGCTACCAGTAGTGGCACTGACCCTAGCCAAATGCAAAACTAGTGAAAAACAGTCAGAAAAGATGAGTAGGGAAAAAAATGCCAGTGGCCTCCACCTGTAAGCCATTCTTGTTTTGGGGTCGTGTCATTGTTGCCCATCTAATGCACCTGTTAATTTCATTAACAGGTCCATAGATAATTTTTTGTTCTGGGGGAGGGGGTTCAGCAGCAGGTACTAAGTAAGAGTCTTTTTTAAATACGGTAAATTGTGCCAAATTCATAATGACTGGTAAAAGGAAAAACTGTGTTGCTCATAGTAAGCAATTACATCCTAATTCTATTTTTTCCAATCCTCTTGAAAATTTAACCTGATTTCACTTTTTCCAGTTTTATGAACGTTGCCCAGTTAGGCTGGCTATTGTCCAGGCTAGAGCCTCATAAACACTGTATGCTGGTGTTGGTGATGGAAAGTCCAGTATGAAAAGTTCTGATAATACAGAGAAGATGAAGTCGGTCCAGCAGTGTGATAATGTCTCTCAGCAAAATGTGAGTTCTGGAAGTGCAGCTCAAGGCAGTCCGCCATTGCAGCCACAGCAAGCCCAGCAAAGAGGAACCATGCTGTGCAGAGCAGAGCCCAGTCAGTTTAGTCTGTCCAGCAATGTGATGTTGTTGCCCAGCACAGTCCAAGCCATGGAGGTCCAACTCCATGCAATCCGCCATTACAGTCACCGCAAGCCCAGCAGAGCAGAGCCCATGCAGTGCAGTGCAGAGCCTATGCCGTGCAGAGTGGAGCTCATTCAGTTCAGTCTAAACAGCACACTCCAAGCTCTGGAAGTGCAACTCAAGGCAGTCAGCCATTACAACCACAGCAAGCCCAGCAGAGCGGAGCCCAGTCAGTTCAGTCTATCCAGCAATGTAATGTTGTCACCCAGCACAGTCCAAGCCATGGAAGACCAACTCCATGCCATCAGCCATTACACCCACAGAAAGCCAAACAGAGCGGGGCCCATGCCATGCAGAGCGGAACCCATACAGTTCATGTGGCTCAGCAATGTAAGGTTGTCACCCAGCACACTCCAAGCTCTAGAACTGCAACTCCAGGCAGTTCCAGCACAGCCATGGAGGTCTAACTTCATGCAGTCAGCCGTTACAGGCACAACAAGCCCAGCAGAGCCCATGCTGTGCAGTGCGGAGCTCACACCATTCATATGGCTCAGAAAAGAGACACGGTCACCCAGCACACTCCAAGCTCTGGAATTGCAACTCAAGGCAGTCAGCCATTACAACCAAAGCAAGCCCAGAAGGGTGGAGCCCATGCCGCACAGAGCCCAGCCCAGGTCGTTCAGAGTGGAGCAGAGGCATCTGTCACTTCCAGTACTCCATGTAAATATGCAAGGACTTCGCTGGAGCAGAAAACCTTGAAGCAGAACTTACAGCAGTGTGTAATGGTGGGCAGTGGCCAGGAACGCTCATCATGCTCCAAGTCCCAGCAGAATAAAGATGATGGTGCCAATAACCCTCCACAGTCTGCCCCGGAGAGTCCTTCTACACCCGGAAGAGACCCTCCTCCCAGTACTGCGGATCAGGATTTCAAACGTCCTGCAGATATGAAGCAGAGAGGGGTTAAAGTCATCACCTGTGCTACACCTGGCTGGTAAGATTCCTGCTCTGGTGAAGAGAATGGAGACCCTGAGGAAAACTAAGGCTAAGATCCAGAAACAGATTGACTGATTACAGACTCAAGGCAGCCAACCCCAAGAAAGAAGTCCTATATGATGTCAAACTTAACTCCCTGGGCATTGAACTGGCTGGTATATCAAGGTACATTGATGCTGTTCTTGAAAAACTGGGACCAGTGGGGGAGGTGTACCGAAATCACGATCAGTTTGAGGCACAATTAAGTGTAAAGATTGAGTCTTCTTCAGAGTCAGACTCCGGGGAACTGGTCCTACGCACGCTGCCAACAAAGGTGCTTCCTGAAAGACAAACTCTAAAGGGACAGTGAGGAACATCACCAGGCTGGAGCTGATGTATCTGCTGGATGTCCAGCTCTGGAGGATAGTGGGAGTGTTTATGATCCGCCAGGTGGTGCCTCAGGCTGCCAACTGATGGACCTACCCAGAGCGTGGGGTCTAAGCTCGGGCTGTGCTTTCACCAGGGTCCCTGATGGTGGGGATGGACTTGTAACAGTCCCGGGCCAGGTCACGACCTCTGAGCAGGCCCACCAGTGGCTGAGGAAGCCTCCGGGGACGTATGCAGGTACTGGGAGAGCCAGATGTGAAGAGGATGGCGGGCCTAGCAGGGTGGTAACGGATCGTAGTCCCGTGGGGGTCAGCGGGGTACCGAATCGGCGGGCAAAGAGTAGTCAGGTCACACGCAGGATCAGCAGGGTAGTCAGTCCGTAGAATGGTCAGGCAAGCCAGGGGTCAGAATAGGAGAAGGCAGCGTAGTCAGGGTCAATCAGGGTCACTAGAACGGGTACAGGAACTCAGGATCACAGATAGACCTTGCGGCAATCTGTGACAGTGCAGGGCATCTTTAAATAGTGCGCCCTGCACTGTCATTGGCCGGCTAGGACGCACCCCCGGCTGTCATTGGACGCCTGAGGCGCGCCCGCGGCGTCCTGCCAGCCGCGCCTCGCCGGGACCTAGTGCCTGTGTCCCGGCGTGATCTGCCGCCAGTGCGCATGCGCGGGGGAAGACGCCGTGATCCCCGATTCCGGAGCCGCGATCCCTGACAGGGAGTGTCAGTTCAACCCAGCAGACTTTCACAGTACAGGAAACCCAGAGAACCGACATGGTGGACTCCCAGCACATGGATCATGTGAACAGTGTTGTTACCCCCAATTCTCATGGTGGGATCAATGCTGGGAGGACTAGTGTTCATGATGGGGTATCTGATAATGATGTGGATGAAGCTGGTGATGCTAGTGGTGATATGGTGACCAGTGCCAATATCACTAATGTTGATGTAGAGGTTTCCGATTTCACTAATACTGATGTAGGTATGTCTGAATGGGGTCATGACCAGTCTGAGGACCCTAATAATGTGGCAATGGAGGAGTCAGTTCAGAATAACCCCCATGACTTCCCCCCCCTTTGGTCGAGCCGCCACCTGCATCACAAGGGAATGGTGGTCCATCTGCCCATGACCTGCCTCGGAATGCCCGGAGCCGCGGGGCCCCTTCTTTTTCCAACAGTACCAGTTATACTGGTCGGGCCTTTAAGAGAAGGAACGTGGTCTGGTTCAAGCATAGGGTTCCAGAGAAGAGCTCCCTGATAGGAGGCTTGTAGTTAGGGAGTTGCTGTGTCAGCAGATGGGGTTTGTGCCTGCAGATATACTGGCAGTCATCAACCTCCCAGACAGACAGGGGTATGATGTCAGCTTTAAGCTCATGTTTGACTTAGACAGGTTCAGGGCCAATTTCAGTAAGTTTCAGGACAAAGAGGGGTGGAAGAATTTCATCTTCATCCTCATCTCTAAACCTGACACAGCAAATGTTAGCATCATTTCTGGAATGAGTCTGTGCCCCCCCCCCCCCCCCCAGGATATTGTAGTCTGGCTCAGAAGACATTGTGAGATGGTTTCTGATTTGACCGAAACTAAAGACAGTGATGGCTTCTCTGACTGGTGGTTGGAGGGTACTGGTTAAGTTAAGGCAAACTAACAATGTCACCCGTCACCTGCCAAACTCCTTACTCATTGGGCGGGAGAGAGGAGTTTGCTTCTATGCAGGTCAGCCCAGGTTATGTTTTAAATGCAGCAAATCTGGTCATGTGGTGAGTGTCTGCACTATCTTGAAGTTTAATCTGTGTGGGGAGGTCGGCCATGTCAGTTCTACCTGTGAGAACGTCAAGTGCAATCTATGTGGTAGGTTTGGCCATTTCCACAGAGATTGCCCGGTGGCCTTCCATAATAGGGATGAGGAATCAGCAGATGAGGAACTACTGGCTGCAGCAGAACACCTAGAGGAGGAAGCCTTAATGAATGGGGCTATATTACCTGGGGGGGAGGTAAACCCAGGGGGCCAGCCTCGGGCAGACGGGCAGCGTTCAGTCGGCTGAGGAGCAGCAGCCGCCTGTGCCCTCTTCATCTGTTTCAGTTCCTGCCTCTGGAGAACCTTCCCGGGCAGAAGAGAAGGAATAGTAAAGACAAGGCTACCCATAAACCTGAAAGTGAATGGACCCTAGTGCAGAAGTCCGCTAAGAAAGCGAGAAGGGCACCAGAAGTTGGTATGGCAGTTTTCAACCGGTATGATGTCTTATCAGAGTCGGATGCTGACTCTTGTGTTCTAGAGGCCCAACTGGAGCAAGAATTAAAAAGAGTGGAAAGGGAATATGCAGCTGGCCTGGGGGATATATTCTCCCGTATCTGCAGAATCTGATATGGAAACTGGTAGTCGGCAGAGTGACTCGGATTCTGATTTCTAAAAAGAGTTTAGAGCTAAAGAAATATTGGAGGAATATAAAATTATGGGATGGAATTTATTTATAGTATCAAAATTCTATGTATAACTTTCATTTAATTTAAACTGCTGAGTTTCTGATGTGAAGAATATGTAAGCTGTTGTTACATTGTTAATTCATGTGCTTTTTATTTTTATGATGGTTACAGTTTTGTTACTTTGATATTTTTATTTGTAAAAACAAACAGAATACAAATACATACAGAATAAGATGAGATAATAAGAATTACACCTGGCATCCAGGACAGGAAAAGTGGGACTGTGCAGAGTCCATACATACAGAATAAGAGGAGATACTGAGGCGTTACACCCAACATATGGGACTTTACCCAGCGCACACAAACCACTACAGTATAGTGTGCACACATGCTTAAAGTAGATCTCCGAGAATTTCTTTTTTTCCCCATGCAGTGGGGCTGTGCCCACCCTGCATGTGCCAACTGCTCATTTTTTCTAGGGGTGAACATTGAATCTATACTCAGCCGATCCTTAGATCCTCTGGAAAATGGCACTCCCCCCCATGCCCAAACAGTGGACTGTTCCTGCCTTCCTCATGTCCAGAACCGGTGTCACGTACCTGGTTGGGGAGCCTGACGTGGAGAGAAGGCGTCCTCTTATGACTCCTGCTCAGATCCCCTGATAGTGGGAACAGGGGGCGCAGAGCCAGGAGTGGCATGAGTGCCGGGTGGATCTGGAGCTGGCGGCAGGTAGCTGGAGACCCAGAAGATCCGCATGCAGGCCAGGTGCGGATGCAGGAACGTAGGTGCAGCAGCAGGCAGGTATGGCGGTAATCAGGATGCAGACTGGGACTGGACACCGGAGCATGGATGCAGTAGCAGGCAGGTATAGCAGTGACCAGGATGCAGGCCAGGTGCAGGACCGTGGGTACAGCGGCAAGTAGATATGGCAAATGCCAGGATGCAAGCCAGATGCAGGATCGTGGGTGCAGCAGCAGGTAAGTATGGCAGCCGTCAGGATGTGAGCCAGGTACAGATGCAGGTAAGTAGATGCAGCAGAGTCAGACAAGCCGGGTCAGTATCAAGCAGGCAGATAAGGTACAAGAGAGCAGACAAGCGGATGGTCCTGGGATAGCCGAGGTCGTTGCAGGCAGAGTTCTTTCTTAGGCAAATCAGAATACAGGCAACAGGATCAGGTAATATGTGCAGGAATGTTGTAGACCAGCAGGCATTGATTTTACTGTTCTGCAGGTTTAAATAGCCCGCCTGGCGTGACGTGTACACTTACTGTGCAAGCGCGAATTTCCGCGCTACTGCGCATGCACGCGAGCATGCTCCCGCACCTGCGCACTTTGCAACGCCTCGGCCCGAGGGGATCCGTCGCTCAGTTGCACGGCGACGGAATCCCTGACAACCGGTCTATGGGTGTGATGTCAGGAACAGTCCACTGCACAAGGACACTAGACTGTGGGGATCAGAAGTGGTGGGGATCGGTCTTGCATTGTGAGGATCAGAGGATTAGGTATGTATATCTCTGCTCTGCAATCCCCTAGAAAAAAATGAGTAGTTAACCCATGCAGTACAGGAACAACCCCATTGCATGGGGAAAAACAATCATCAAGTAATCACAGAATGTTAATGTGTCACATCTGAACACCTGTGTGAAGATGTGTACTCACACACCTTCCTGCACCTGCAGAGAAAAGGATTCTGTTGCTGAGCAGAGATGCATGCAGTTACCATTAGCCTAGATTCACAATACAATGCGGCATCGGAAAAACAACAGCAAAGGAAAACGCAGGCCATCCTCAGTCACTGTCATTAAGGCCCTGTTCACATCTAGCGATTTGGGACCGTGAAATCGGCATGATTCTGCCCGTGATTCCAAATCACACTGCAATGCTGGCAAAACGCAGCACATGTGTTTGTATGTGTGCCATTTATTTTTAAAGGCACCTAAAATGCAGTGTTTTGGCGTGTGATAAGTCGCTCAACAATCACAGCAAAACCACACTGCTTTTTAAGTACCAATAAAAATTAATAGAGCACAAACATGTGTGCTGCATTTTGCCAGCATTTCAGTGCGATTTGGAATCGCGGGCAGAATCAGCCCTGCATCAACCACTAACTTCGCTCTCAGACTGTCACTAAATAACTAGCATTAACAGAAGCATGTCAGCAGCAGAAGTAAGCCAGCCTAAGGACAGAAGGGACAGAGGGACACACCTGGAAAGGAGAGCAGCAGCCAGAGCCAGCACTTCCATCCATCTATCCATCCATCATTACACAGAACAGATTCCTGAACTCGAGGGCCAGGCAAAGCCAGAGCAGAAAGTAGCACTTCAAGGAGCCAATGGGGATGTATTGGTGGGCTTGACAGGCACCAGCAGCTCCCGTTCTACTCAGTGTGAAGTGCAGCCTGATGGTGGTTATAGATCATCTCTATGTGAGAAGACAGTGACAGCCACAGCCTCAGCGGTGAGCCTGGCAATGTAAATTCACAGCATGTGAGTGTCCAGTGCCCCGAGTGCGGAATGGTTAACCCTTGCACAGTGCAGTTGCAGTAACATTCATTTAAAATCACAACTACATGCCACTGACCGCCAAAAATCAACTGCATAGTGTTGGTTCCTGCCCTTCTGCCTGCCGCACATGTTTGAACCCCCCTGATCCCCCCCTTATCTACTTCCCTGTTCACTAACACCAAAAGCAGCTGTAACTGATTAACAACCCCCTCTGCTTCTTAAGAGACCAGATCAATATCCCAGGAGTTTTATTGACTTGATGCTATACTCTGACTAAAAGTGTTTTGTATTTTTTTGAGCAATGTATAATTCTGATGTAATAGTGTTAGAAATGTTGTGACTAGTATGGTTTCAAAATAGTGTGCAAAATGCTAATTCCAATGTATATATCATTAATAAACAAATTGAACAGCACTGACCCCAAGACAGAATCCTGGGGCACACTGCTCACAACTTTAGACCATTTAGAGAATAAGTCATTTATCATTACTCTCTGGACCAATTTATGTTTCCTAACCATGGACATACAATTTAATCAACTCCAACAGACCTTATTGTATAAATTAAACATTTATGAGGTACAGCATCAAATGCTTTAGCAAAATCTAGATAAATTATGTCCACCATCCAATGACTTCCTCAAAGAACAGGTTAGTCTGACAACCCTTTCATATTACAATGCTGGTTGTCACTTATACTACCTTTATCTGATAAACTTCTGAATACAGTCCCTTACCATTCCCTCAAGTACCATACATATACAGTATTATTGATGTTAGGTTGACTGACCTGTAGTTTCTTGGTATTCATCTTGACCCTTTTTTGTAAGTTGGTACCACATTTGCTCTATGCAAATTATTTGGTAGCATTCCAGTCAGTAAGGGTCTTTAAATTTTAAAAATAGCAGCTTGGCTATAACTGGGCTAAATTCCCTAAGAACTCACAGGTGTAAGCCATCTGAACCTGGTGATATGCTCACATTAAAAGGTGGGAATATACGATTAGAAAAAAGACCAATCTGTCATCCAATGACCGAGAGGCGTTCGTTCGTTGGTCGAAATTGTGGCCCACATTAACCCATGGAAAAAAATTGTTCGTCGGGCAATACATAGTGTTGACATCTTCCGTACAAGTGGAAGTGATGCAATGTGCTACGCCTTTCTAGCCAGAACAAAAACGATATACACAACAATTAACAGCAATGAGTATAATATAGTTTATTACATTAACTATATACATAAATAGTGATACATAAAAAATATAATATGCATAATTCTGTTTTCACTATCTCATTAGGCCAATCTACTTTTGACATTTGGATTTTTCGTTCGTGTTTACAAAGATTTCTTGGACATAAACATCCAGGTCCGCTCAAGCGTGATAGCACTTGATAGATTTTTTTCGTAGGACTGTCATACCATAGCATAGAACATCCTGTTCATCAACGAAGAAAAAAAAAAGTTCAATCAATGGTTCAGCAAAATTTTTAGTACGATTTTCTTATCGTGTGTACGGGGCTTAAGTTTCTCTATTGTCTTTTGTACCTAATTTTCTTTCAGTCACAAAGGCATCATTGATGAAACATCATTACCAATACGTTTTAGACTATGCAAAGAAAATCAGCGCCATA